GTAACTCTTTCAAATAAATAAACAAATCTAAAAAAAAATTTTAATTCTCTTTCCACTATACTACCCTAATTTTGTCTTCCTTGAGATTCTGTTCATGCCCTTTTATATAACATTTAGAATTTGAGTGAACACAGGACAATGTAGACCTTAAATTCTGACCATTAGCTATACACTGGGGGAGATAGGGACAGAAAAATAAAATACATGCATATATCCCTAGAGCTATACCACGAGGTCCAACAAAGAAAGGATTCTGTACCACCGAAACCTAAAAATATAAAAGAAACAGTTTTCAGATGTGTTATCATTCTTAATACTGCAGACCTCCAAAGATTCAAATCCACAACAGAAAAAGGAGACCTCAATTTTTTCCCACCCAAAGCCCAAGCCTCTTTATGCATGATTAAACTAGGCAGAAGTTATTACATAAAGTCATTAGGCCCCTTGAATAGAGAATAGTCCTGATTCTAGAAGACAACTAAATTGAGTCTTGAAGGCATAGAAAAAAAGCCTTGCGGGTAGGAGCCAGAGCCTGGCACATTCAGCTAACTGTGAGCCATGTCTGCCACAGCTATATTAAATGGGTGCATAAAACTAAGACTGGAGAGGCAAACAAAATCAGATCCTGAAGGTTTAGCTGTATATATATTAATATATATATATAAATATATATATATAGGACAGGCAGATTTAGACAGTGAGAGAGACAGAGAGAAAGGTCTTCTTTTCTGTTGGTTCACCCCCCAAATGGTCACTACAGCCAGCACACTGCGCCAATCCGAAGCCAGGAGCCAGGTGCTTCCTCCTGGTCTCCCATGCGGGTGCTGCCTTCCCGGGCCACAGCAGAGAGCTAGACTGGAAGAGGAGCAACTGGGACAGAATCTGGCACCCCAACCGGGACTAGAACTAGGGGTGCCAGCGCCGTGGGCAGAGGATTAGCCAAGTGAGCCGCAGCGCCGGCCTTGCTGTATATTTTCTTTCAACAACTTTTTAATCACAATGGTGTTCTAGTTCCCTAAAACTCTATCCTACCTTTATATTCTTTACAACAATTAAGGTTATTTTCTTTTCAAGAAAATACCTTGTTTCTGATAGTTCTGAACAGCCCTCTTACATGAGTAAATTAAACCGTTCCCACATTCTCACTTCCCAACAGAGAAAAGAAGGATCCCCAAGAAGCTGTGTGGAAGAAGGCAGCTACACCACAGTGTGTGTCACTAAGAAACTCCGATAAGGATATAGGCAAAGCAATAACCATCACTCCCGAAAGGTTTTCACAATGAGCAAGAAACAAGCAGCTTGGGTTTTTCAAGACTGGCATTTCACACCAATGGAAAAATTCTCTGAATAGGGCAAGAAGGCAGGACCAGCCTCAGGAAAATGGCTGCTTGGGAGTCAAGTATCAATACAGACTAAGTGAGAGAAACCCAGTCCTCAATTTTATTCCATTTGCTTTTATGCTGTGCAGAGCTATCATGGATCAGGTTATACTTTCCAGTATTGTGGGCTGTTATGGTTCTCATTCAGAGTTAAATCTCTGGAGATTTATGATTTGGAATGGTAGAAAATTAGTAATTAATTAAATTTGTATTTTATAGAACACATGTTAAGAGCAAAAGCATTCTATAGCATACAAAGGCACTTCAAAAATGTCATAGAAAATTAAATTAAAGTTTACTTTGGCACAAAAATTTGTTTTTTCATTATACACAATTCCCAGAAACCTTTTGAAGATTCCTCACATTTGTAGATAATCAATGATGACTCTTGATGTAACATATCCCTTGAATCCTGGATATTTCTCTCCATTGTTTCCTTCTGTCCCTTCTCTCATTCTCCGAATTTCTCTCTTCAATGAAACAAAGATTTAATAACCTCAAACTATGTGTCAGGCATTCTGCTGTATGTTGAGGACACAAAAACAAGTAAAACATTAAGCCTGCCTTCAAAGAACTACCTAGTCTAAGGAAAGGCATACACATCAACAGATCATGTGTTCAGTCCAGTGACAGGGATATCCACACAACTAAAAGAGGCCTGAAGGGAAGAAAGATGGCCAAAACAATCTAGGAGTTAGAGAAGGATTTCTGGAAAAGGAAATACTCATCTCAGTCTCCAAAGATGAATATGAGTTTTTGAGAGAAAAGGTAGGAAAGAGGAGGAAAACCAACCACAGCAGCAATATGCAGCAGAAGCAGAGATGAGGAGGAATGCCAGAGTGCACACATGGAATCACAAACATTTCAGTTCTACTGGAAAATAAAGGTTAAGGAAGAAAACAGTCAAAAGGAAGCTGGGAAAGAAAACAGGGGTCAAATCTCAGGAGGACCATGAACTTTACACATAAGACTTGGGAAGCCCATGAAAAGCCTTAACCAAACGAGTGAAAAGGTCAAATCTGCATTTTAAATAGTTCAGTCAAGCTATTAAATGGAAATCTCAGAAGTTCTAGGTGAAAGCTAAGAAGAACCTCAAATAGGCTTCAAATGGCCAATCTCTGGTGTCCCCAGTTGAGATGGAGAATATAAGCACTGAAATAGGAAAGAAAATAAGAGATTAAATATTGGACTAAATGACCTTGAGTTACCTTAGCTACTGAGATGGAGATATCCAGCACAACTGAACATATATCTGAAGATCAGAACAAAGTTTTGGCTAAAAGTAAAAATATGGGAACTGGGGGCCAGCGCTGTGGCAGTGCCGGCATCCCATATGGGTGCCAGTTTGAGTCCCAGCTGTTCCACTTCTGAACCAACTCTCTGCTATGGCCTAGAAAGCAATAGATGATAGCCCTCGTGTGTGGGCCCCTACACCCACATGGGAGACCTGGAAGGAGGTCCTGGCTCCTGGCTTCAGATCAGCTCAGTTTTGGCCACTGCGGTCATTTGGGGAGTGAACCGGTGAACCAGAGCCTCTCTCTCTGGCTCTACCTCTCTCCATAACTCTTTTAAATAAATAAAATGAATCTAAAAAAAAAAATATGGGAACTTAATGCATTTAGGAGATAACTGACATCTTGAGAGTAAACGGGCCAAACACAACATCAGTGAAAAAAGCAGACAAAAAAATGGAGCCCTGAGGAGCCCCTACATTTAATGAAGCAGGCTAAGTAATTGAGAAGGGCTTCAAAAAGACAGGTATGAAGAGAACCAAGAATGCTGTGTTGAGAAGCCAACTGACTTCCAAAGGGAAGTTGAAATGTCAAGTAGGTAAGACTGACATCTTCCTCTGGATTTAGCAATTAGGGTTCCTAGTAAGAATTATTTCATTATTACATAGAAAGCATAAGCCCAGTGTCAGTGGAGAAAGGCAAACCACAGATAAGGATGTAGACAAGACTGAGGTTTCCCTTCCACATTTGAAGAGTGATTAAGAAGGTGAAGAGTTTTTTCATCTGTTTCTTTATTTACAAGTATAGTGCAACCCATTCAATATGACAGTATGGATAGAAGGGAAGAAGAAGGAAAAGAATTTGGAGCAAGGTCTTGGAGAAGGCAGGAAAGGATTGGTCTTCTTTTATTTTCTTTTCTTTTTTTAGATTTATTTATTTATTTCAAAGGCAGAATTACAGAGAAAAGGAGAAAAGAAGCTCTTCTTTCCACTGGTTCACTACTCAAGGGCAACAATGGCCGGGGATGGGCCACAGTGAAGCCAGGAGTTTCATCTGGGTTGCCCACAAGGCTACAGGGCCCCAAACACTTGGGTCATCTTCCGCACTTTCCCAGGTCTATTAACAGGGAGCTGGATCAGAAGCAGAGCAGGTGGGAAATACAAAGGAACCTATATGGGACGCTGACATCAGAGGAGGAGGCTTAACCCGCTGTGCCACAATGCCAGCCCCACTGTCTTACTTATTTCAAAGTCAGGGTTACAGAGAGGGAGCCTCCTTCCACTAGTTCCCTCCCCAGATGGCTGCAACAGCAGGAGCCAGGAGCTTCTTCCAGGTCTCACACATGGGTGGCACAGGCCCAAGCACTGGGGCCATCGTCTACTGCTGTTCCCTGGCTACTAGCAGAGAGCTGACTGGAAGTGGAGCAGCCGGGACACAAGCCGGAGCCCTTATGGGATGCCAGCGTCGCAGGTGGTAGCTTTACCAGCTACACCACAACACTGACCCCAGGGATGGATCTTTTTAAACAATAAATAATACTTCATTCTGAGAAGTGAATAAAGAAGGTGAGTGTTAAGACAGAAGTAGAACAAGATTATTCCAAATAATGCCACCTGTGAAATAATGGCACAGAATCTTGCAAGTCCAAAGGAAGGGACCAGTCAGAAAACATCAGAAGTTGAGGAAGTGGGAACAGTGAGAAGTGAAGCCAGGAAGACAAACTGGAGCCAGGCTGTGAGGAAGCAGAAAGAGCAATAGCGTAGTGGAGAAAGAAACATTCAGGAGGAAGTCAGGGGTGGATGTTATGGTGCAGCAGATTAAAGTGCCACTTGGGATGCCTGCTTCCCACATCAGAGTGTCTGGTTCAAGCTGTGGCTACTCCACACTTCCTATCCAGCTTTCTGCTAACATACTGGGGGGGGGGGGGGGGGGACAGAAAATGATGGCCCAAGTACTTGGCTTCCTGCCACCCCCATGAAAGACCTGGATGAGGTTCTTGGCTCCTGGCTTTGGTTTGGCCTAGTCTAGCCTGTTGTAGGCATCTGGGGAGTAAGCCAGCAGATAGAAGCTCTCTTTCTCCTTCATTTTCTGACACTCTGTCTTTCAAATAAATAAATAAATCTAAAAAGGAGATTAATTTTATGAAATCTGTGGATGCATTCATTTTTGCTTTGTTTAAAAAATACTCCATGGAGCCGGCGCCGCGGCTCACTAGGCTAATCCTCCGCCTAGCGGCGCCGGCACACCAGGTTCTAGTCCCGGTCGGGGCGCCGGATTCTGTCCCGGTTGCCCCTCTTCCAGGCCAGCTCTCTGCTGTGGCCCAGGAGTGCAGTGGAGGATGGCCCAGGTGCTTGGGCCCTGCACCCCATGGGGAGACCAGGAAAAGCACCTGGCTCCTGGCTCCTGCCATCGGATCAGCGCGGTGCGCCGGCCGCAGCGCGCCGGCCGCGGCGGCCATTGGAGGGTGAACCAACGGCAAAGGAAGACCTTTCTCTCTGTCTCTCTCTCTCACTGTCCACTCTGCCTGTCAAAAAAAAAAAAAAAAATACTCCATGGGGCTACTGCAGTGGCGTAATAGGTAAAGCTGCCACCTCCAGCACCAGCATCCTATATGGGCACCAATTCAAGTCCTGGTTGCTCCACTTCCTATCCAGCTCCCTGTTAATGTGCCTGGGAAGCAGCAGAGGATGGCCCAAGTCCTGAGGCTCCTGTACCCACAAGGGAGACCCAGAAGAAGCTCCTGGGCTCCTCGCTCCTGGCTTTAGACTAGCCCAGCTCTGGCCACTGTGGATTGAACCAATGGATATTAGAGCTCTCTCTGCCTCTTCTTCTCCCTCTCTCTCTCTAACTCTGCCTTTCAAATAAATAAATCAATCTTTATTTAAAAAAAAAAAAAACTCCAAAAGGAATGTAAAAGATGAGTTGTGTAGGGAAAATATAGGTACCACACCTTTTATATTTTTTTCTTCCCTCATTTCCTTCTGTAGCCACTGTTCCTTAATTAGTTACAAGTGAAAGTTCAGCAAAGCTATCTTAGAATTAATTTATTTAAAAAAAAATCAGGATGGCTGCTGGTACAGCAGGTAAGACATCTCTTTGGATACCTACTTTCCATATTGGGTGCCTGGATTTCAGTGCTAGCTCCTCTCTCAGTGCAGCTTCCTGGTAATTCGCACTCTGGGAGGCAACAAGTCAGGGTTCAGGGAGTTGGGTTCCTGTTACTCAAGTGGAAGAAGACCTTGACTGAGTTCCTCACTCCTAGCTTCACCCTGGCCCAGACCCAGCTGTTGTGGGCTTTTAGGGAGCAAAACAATGGAAGGGTCTTTCTCCCTCTCTCTCTCAGCATTCAGAAGAACAAAATAAAAATTTAAAAAAATAAATATCTGTGGTACTGTCCACAATTATTAAATATAGCTGAGTTAAATGGGTAATGTTTATCTTATTTAAAATAATAACGGGACTAGCACTGTGGTGCAGAGGGCCAATCCTCCACATGCGGTGCCAGCAGCCCATATGGGCACCGGTTCACATCCCAGCTGCTCCACTTTTGATCCAGCTCTCTGCTATGGCCTGGGAAAACAGTGGAAGATGGCCCAAGTGCTTGGGCCCCTGCACCCACATGGGAGGCCTAGAGGAAGCTCTTGGCTCCTGGCTTTGGCCTAGCCCAGCTCAGGCTATTGCAGTCATATGGAGAGTGAACCAGAGTACCTTTCTTTCTGTCTCTCCCTCTCTCTGTCTATAATTCTACCTCTCAAATAAAAAAGTAAATCTTTAAAAAATAAGAATAAGAATAATGGGGTCACTGTTGCGTTACAGCAGGTTAAACTGGGAAGCCAGCATCCAATATAAGCACAGGTTCAAGTCCCAGATGCTGCACTCCCAAACCAGCTCCCTGCTTATGCACCTGGGAAAGCACTGGAAGATGGCCCAACTATTTGGGCCCCTGCCACCCTTGTGGGAGATCCAGATGGAATTCCAGGCTTTTGGCTTGGGCCTGGCCCAGCCTCAGCTATTGTGGCCATTTGGGGAGTGAACCAGTCGATGGAATATCACTCTCTCCCCATCCCCAACTCTACCTTTCAAATAAATAAAATTTTAAAAAACAATAATAAAAGGGGCTGGTGCTGTGGCACAGTGGGTTAATGCCCTGGCCTGAAGTGCCGGCATCCCATATGGGCACCAGTTCAAGACCTGGCTGCTCCACTTCCAATCCAGCTCTCTGCTATGGCCTGGGAAAGCAGTAGAAGATGGCCCAAGTCCTTGGGCCCCTGCACCCACATTGGAGACCCGGAAGAAGCTCCTGGCTCCTGGCTTGAGTGAACCATCGGATGGACGACCTCTCTCTCTTTCTCTCTGCCTCTCCTCTCTCTATGTAACTCTCATTTGCAAATAAATAAGTAAATCTTTAAAAAAAATAATAAAATAAAAAACTGGGGTCAGTGTGGTGACACAGTTCTGGAACCCCATATTGGAGTGCTAGTTTGAGTCCCACCTATTCTGCTTCCTATGCAGCTTTCGACTAATGTGCCTGGGAAGGCAGCAGATGATGGCCCTGTGCTTGGGCCTCTACTATGTATTTTACAGACTGGGATAGACGGAGTTTTGGTTCCTGGCTTCAGCCTGGCTCAGCTCTCTGGCTGCTGTGGCCATTTGGCAAATGAACCAACTTATGAAAAATCTTGATCTCTCCCCGTCTCTGAGGCTCTGTCTTTCAAATAGAAAAATAAATCTTTTTTAAAAAAAACTAAATTACACTGCCTTTTACAAAAAAAAAAAACCAAAAAAACAAATAATGTCTTAAATGATACTGTCTCTGAGCTAGTGGTATTCAATTTAAAAAAAATTCCCCAACTCTACCAATAAATAATCACATGATAAAATTTGGAAATTCAAAAAGGGATTGAGATAAGTTGGGGTTGCGGCTGGCATTGTAGCATAACAGTTAAAGCTACCATCTGTGATGCTGGCACTCCATATAGGCACTGGTTTGAGACCGGCTGCTCCACCTTCGATCCAGATTCCTGCTAACGTGCCTGGGGAAGCAGCAGAAGATGGTCCATGCACTTGGGTTCCTGCACCCACGTGGGATATTGGAAGAAACTCTTGACTCCTGGCTTCAGCCTGGCCCAGCCCCAGCATTTGCAGCCATCTGGGGAGTGAACCAGAGGATGGAAGATATCTCTTTCTATCTCTCCTCCCCTCCTCTTCCTCTCTGTAACTCTTGACTTTAAAATAAATAAATAAATCTTTAAAAAAAAAAAGATAATTTGGGCACCTGCAGTTAACAAACAGGAAAATGTGAAGCAGATGATTAAGCAGCTGCCACCTATAAAGCCAGCATCCCATATGAGTGCCAGTTAGAGTGTCAGCTACTCCACTTCAGACCCAGCTCCCTACTAATGTGCCTGGGAAAGCAGCAGAAGATGGCCCAAGTACCTGAGCCCCTAACACCCACATGGAGTCAAGATAGAGTTTCAGGCTCTTGGCTTTGGCCTGGCCTGGCCCAGCCCAGCCATTGCAGCTATTTGGAGAGTGAACAAGCAAAGATCTCTTTTTCTGTCTTTCTTTCTCTCTCTGACACTTTGTCTTTCAAATAAAACAAAATAAATCCTCTTTTAAAAATGTGGAAATAAAACAATAACTACTATGGTTATTTTTCATAAAATGCTCATCTTAATTCTCACAACAGTTTATGTCATATACATATTATCTCCATTTGTAGATAAGAAAACTAAGTTTGTATGTGTCCCTCCAGGAACTAGAATGGTACGTGGCATTTAACAGACTCTCAATGAAAATTTGCTAAAGGCTAAAAGACATTATATAACTCTAAAATAGTTATATGGCTAATGGTGGTACCATATCTCAACCGTGGGTGTTTTGACCCTTAATCCTATACCTTCACATTGTTTCATGCTGCTAAAAACAGGGAAAAGTGGTAGGGTAAAAGAGTATAATTTCAGTGTATTTTACAATTTTATATGAACTGGTTAAAATATCAGAAATGACTGCTGTCAAGTAGCAACCACCAAGACTAGTATACTTCCTCCTATTATCACCCACGCTGCATGGCCATCCTTAAGAGTTCACAGACTTGTATTACTGGCCCACTTTATTCTCTCCATAGGTAACTTACCCCGTTCTAACCTACTTCTTCCCACTTTACTGCAGCAGTGTCAGAAAAACAGGAAAGCCCTCTAGATGATCCTGTCCACTCTCTAGAGAGACACTATAGGCCAGCGCCATGGCTCATTAGGCTAATCCTCCACCTGCGGCGCTGGTACCCCGGGTTCTAGTCCTGGTTGGGGTGCCGGATTCTGTCCCAGTTGCTCCTCTTCCAGTCCAGCTCTCTGCCGTGACCCGGGAAGGCAGTGGAGGATGGCCCAAGTCCTTGGGCCCTACACTTGCATGGGAGATCAGGAAGAAGCACCTGGCTCTTGGCTTCGGATCGGCACAGCGCGCCAGCCGTGGTGGCCATTTGGGGGGTGAACCAACGGAAGAAAGACCTTTCTCTCTGTCTCTCTCTATCTCTCACTGTCTAAATCTGCCTGTAAAAAAAAAAGAGAGAGAGAGAGACTAGAGAGACTATAGCCTTGTGGCACCCAACTGCATCTATGTAGAAAGCAAAAATTAAAGATGACACCGCCACCTAATGAACAGGTCTCACTCATTTTTAGAGGTGCACCCATAGTAGAAGTACCATCAGACACACACTTAAAAATCAGATGCAGTTCTCCATCCTATGGCCACTATATTAACCATACCCTCACACCAACTGGTGGATCTGATCCTGAAAAACATGGCCTACCGGAGGCCAGCACTGTGGCATTGTGGGCAAAGCCTCTGCTTGCAGCACCAGCATTCTATATGGGTGCTGGTTCTAGTCCTAGCTGCCTACTTCCAATCTAGCTCTCTGCTATGGCCTGGGAAAGCAGCAGAAGGCGGCCTAAATGCTTGAGCCCCAGAAGAAGCTCCTGGCTTTGGACTGGCTCAGCTCTAGCTGTTGCAGCCATATGGGGAGTGAACCAGTGGATGGAAGACCTTTCTCTCTGTCTCTCCCTCTCTCTCTGTCTGTAACTCTATCTCTCAAATAAATAAATAAATCTCGAAAAAAAAAAGATAACAGTAAAGGAGAAGATACAATATACCAATGAGAAGAATTAGAAAACTGCAGTGGCTATATTCATATTTTAAAAAAGTAACTTTAAAAAATGTTAGCCTATCGAGTTTTGTAAACTGAGAATTTTCAAAAGCAGTGGGATGTTTGCTATTTAAATTAATCATATGGTGAAGATTTTTGCAAGAGAAACAATCTTTTTATAAGAAAAAGAAAACCATCACCTAATTCTTCTGCCAGAAAATGTGGCTTTTTTTTTTTTTTTTTTTTGCAGATCAATTAATCTAAGTTCAGATCCAGATACTTGACCTTAGTAGCTACATAATTTCCAGCAACTCACTACTTTTCTGAGTCTGTTCTATGAAACGGTTATTCTACCCAACGCTCAGGATCATTGCAAAGATAAAATGAGATGACAGGTAAGAACATGTTGTATAAACTGTGCACAGTGCAGGGATCAAGAAATACCATTCACCAACAATTCAAAATATGTATACAAATGTGCTCAGGTTTATTGGGAAGAGAGGAACCCAACCACAAGTTTCCAACTTCCATTGTTGATGAAGACACACACAGGAGACATAACAAGATTTAGCCTTTTTTTCCTCACAATACCACATGGTACCAATATTGCAAGGAGGTACCTAATGGAGTAGTCAAAGGCAAATTTATCATTCAAGGAAATGTTTAGTCACTTAGAGACATCTGTCTCTTCTTTCAAAGACTTACCACGTAGAAAAAAATTACAGAGCTAAAGTTTTGGAAAGAAATGACTCAAAAATTGTATCATTAGGGTCAGCACTGTGGCACAGCAGGGAAAGCTGCTCCAAGTCTCAGCTGCTCCACTTCTGATCCAGCTCCCTGGTAATGTGCCTGGGAAAGCAGTGGAAGATGGTCCAAGTGCTTGGCCCCTGCACCCACATGGGAGACCTAGAAGAAGCTCCTGGCTCCTGGCTTTGGATCAGCCCAACTCAGGCCATTGCAGCCATTTGGGAAGTGAATCAGTGGATAGAAGATCTGTCTCTGCCTCTGCCTTTCTGTAACTCTGCTTTTCAACTAAATAAATAAATAAAAAGTACTAGATGGTAACACATTTTTATAAAACATTTCTAACCACATTTTCATTCTCCAATATAATTCATATCTGTGTTCTGATAGCACTTTATGCATACTAATTATCACCTGTATTACAATCATGTTTAAATACCTGTCATCTCCCTACTGGACTGCAAGATCCCAATAGACAATGTCTGCATCTTCTGATTCAAACTCTTCAAAGCTTAGTTTAGCTGTTACTTCTTCAGTGGAGCCTTCCATTCCCTCTCTAGCCACATCTATCTCTTTCTACTGCTAAACTGGGGCCAATGTTGTGGTACAGTAGGTTAACTATCACTTGCAATGCCAGCATCCCATATGGGCTCCAGACTTCAGCCTAGCCCAATCCCAGCCACTGTGGCCATTTGGGGAGTGAACCAGTGAATGGAAGAACAAACACTCTCTCTCACTCTCTCACTCTCTGCCTCTTTGTCTCTCTCCCTGACACTTCCTCTCTCTGTAATTGCCTTTTGAATAAATAAATAAATCTTTAAAACAAATTTCTATACTACATTGGTGTTAGAAAGATTAAATGAGATTTGTAAAGAGAATAGTACAACATCTGCATACAAGGGTACTTCAAAAAGTCTGTAGAAAACAGAATTAAAAAATAATTGGGGTCATCCCATATGAGCACCAGTTAGAGTCCTGGCTGCTCCACTTCTGATCCAGCTCTCTGCTATGGCCTCGGAAAGCAGTAAAAGATGGTCCAAGTCCTTGGCCCCTGTTCCTGCATAGGAGACCAAGAGAAACTCCAGGTTCCTGGCTTTGGATTGGGTCAGCTCCAGTCTTTGCGGCCATTTGGGGAGTGAATAACCAGACGGAAACCCCTCTCTCTCACTCTCTCTCTCTCTGCATCTACCTCTCTATAACTCTGCCTGTCAAGTAAATAAATCTTTTTTTTTAAAGATAATTTGGGTACAGAAAATTTGAAAACCATGTGTAGCTTTTTCATAATATGCATTTTTCTATCAACTTTTGAAGACCTCTCATGTAGTAATTGGTCAATAAATAACAGTAGTTGGTGGTGTTGTCTCACCTATAGCACCAATCACATATCCATTTGTTCATCACAACTCAAATTTAATGTGATTATGAATCATTTGGGGGTTTTGCTCAAATGCAAATTATGATTCCACAGGCATGAGGTGGGACCTAAGATACTATAGTTCACAAAGCTACTGGTTGATATCAATACTTTGGCTCAAGGACCATACTTTGAATACAAAAGGTAATTTGTAATCACCTTTTTTCAAAAATATAAATTTACCTCCCCACTGGACAGTTAGATCCTAAAAGACGGATGCTAGGCCTCATTGATTCACAACAAATATACCCTAAAAAAGAAGATGCCCAGTTAACACCTGTTGACTATTCATATCTGCAACCTCTAAATAATCAAGAGTGCCTTTGCTGTACAGAATTTCAAATTAAAACTGAGAAGTCCCACGATGAAAAGCTCTCTTTGTCATTGGAGTCAGAATTTCTAGAATGGAGGGAAGGAAGAATCTGAGAGAAAACTTACCTTTTAACCAGTGAGAATGTAATATACCGAAGAAACAGACACACTCAAATGCCATCTGTTCTTTGTTTAGGCACAAAGATCATAAATGTGAAAGATGCACTTCAAATTTATTACAATCCTTAAAAGGCATGGCAACATAAAAACTAACATTAATAATATTAATGAAGTATATAATGAGCTTGATTACATTTTTTGTGTAGCACAAATAAATTTTTCAATGATCTTTTAGTATGCCATTAGTCTAAAGATCTCAGCAACCAATGAAAACATTTCAAGTTAAAGAAAGAAAAACTCTTCCAGTTTTCCCATCAACCTGGTCAGTGGTGAAGTCTACAAATTCTGTTGCTTGCAATTATACTGGTAAAGATTCAAAGGACTCTGCTGTGTACTAAGGATGCTCTGAGATGTCACCTGTTTCAAGCACTCTTTTAAATCTCCAATTATTTAAATGGTTGTTAAAGCCCTCTTTATTTTAGTATTCTATAAATCAGATGGAACCAATACTCTGGGAGACTACACTCTGCCTTCCTACTCAAGCACAGGATAATGATACTGGACATGTATGAGGTGGTTTCAGAAATTTCACAGAAAACGCACATTTAACATTTCTAATTACATATTTACTTGAGCGACAGAAAGAGAGAAACAGCAAGGGAGAGAGCTGCCATGCACTGTTTGAGTCCCAAATGCATGCAACAGCTAGACCTACACCATGCCAAAGCCTAAAGCTGAACAATCAATCCAAGTCTTCCATGTGCGTAGCAGGAGCCCAGTCACTTGAACCATCACTGCTGCCTTCCAGAGTACAAACTGCATGAAGCTGAAGTCAGAAGCCAGATATAAATATCAAACCCAGGTACTCTGATACAGGATTCAGGCGTCTTAACTGCTAGGTTAAATGCCTGCTCTCTACCCTCCATTATCTTTCTTTTTTAAAAAACATTTATTTATTTATTTGAAAGAGTTACATAGAGAGAAGAGAGAGAGACAGAGAGAGAAACAAAGAGAGAGAGGTCTTCCATTTGCTTGTTCACTCCCCAGTTGGCCACAAGGGCCAGAGCTGCACTGATCCAAAGCCAGGAGCCTAGAGCTTCTTCTGGGTCTCCCATGCCGGTGCAGAGGCCCAAGCACTTGGGCCATCTTCTACAGCTTTCCCAGGCCATAGCAGACAGCTGGATCAGAAGTGGAGCAGCCTGGACTCAAACCAGCACCCAGACGGGATGCCAGCACTGTAGGTGGTGGCTTTACCCACTACGCCACAGCGCTGGTCCCAGCCCCCCCCCCCCCGCCATCTTTAAATTCTACTTTTCCAAGAACTTCTTTAGCTCCTTCATATGCTACCTCCTCAGTGAATACCATCTAGGTATTTACTAAAATAAGCCTTCAGAGCAAAAACCACCTTTGTAAATTATGGTACCTGTCGTAAGCAAGCACCTGCTCCTTAATTCAAAGAGATCTTTCAATAAAAGCACTCACCAATATTTAACTGAGATGTTTACAACAAATTTAGAACTATGTTGGAAGACAAACTCTGAAATTCTGGAAATTGCTATTAAGCACAGAAACAGAGGCACAAAACTGCTGTCAAGCACTGCACTCAAATGAGGCTTATGAGTTCTAATAAATTAATGTTGTTACTTCAGAGAAAACCAGAAAACAGTTGGGAGTAAGCACATAAAAAGTAGCTTCTATTACTTCCATTAGAATTCTAGTCTCCAGGGCAAGGCAAATTCTCTGGTTTATGCAAGTCTGTCTTTCTAGAAAATAATACTATCCAAGGAGACTTTCAAATCTCAAGCCACTGAGGCATTTATAAACAGAAACCTACAGCAGCCTCACCATAACCATACAAATGAGTATCTACCTACCTGTAGATACCTAACTAGCAATTATACCCGAAACAAATGCCTTCAACAGGATGGGAGATCAAGACAAGGTGCATAAAGGTCAGATTCTTGCACAGAAAAATCAAACAACATCGTTCTCATTTCTTCCCTCTTCCTGGCCTTTCTTTGGAGATTCACCTGCGTTAAGCCTTCTCCAGTAACACTGGCTCCCACCAATCACCCCATTCACTGAATGACTGAAACACAAGTGCCCAGCAATAATTCTAGATTTCCTTTTGTTAAATGTTTCATGCAGTCAATCTATCTCCCAAATTGGAGTGATTCTCTAAAAGCCCCCCCGACGCTGCCTAGCCCCTACAGGAAGCATATTATTAAAATGGCCAGTAATATAATAATAGTGAGGTGATATAGTGGAGTGGGAACAGTGAACTCAAATGGGGCCTAAATTCAAACCCTGATTCTACCATTCGCTGGCTGTATGAAAACAGTACTTACCTTTTCAAAGCCTCAGTTATGTGGTGAGAATTCAATGAGATAACCTATTGTGAGCACCCAGTACGGTTTGGTGTATAACAGATGTTCAACACAGTTTGGTTCCCTTCCCTTCTCCCTTAATGAGCACTTGTTGATTTGAACTGAGTTACAGCGATTCTCCTAAGGGGGCTGTCAATGGCCTGTCATATTCTCTTCTATTTCCCCCACTGCCTTCTTGTATGTGCCTTCAAGAGAAAAAATCAACCAAACAAGGCATCCAAACAACTATGCAGACTGGTGACAGCGGCTGCCAGCAGGAAGGCATCCCCACATTCACATCTCACTTCCCCTGTCCATGCCGCTGCCCACACCCTCTCTCTCTGCAACCCTCCCTCTGGGGCTCCCAGTGAGAAAATGATAGAGAAAAAGCTGGGAAGCAGCCCAAAGAGGAAATGGAGATTAACAGCCTCATGGGCCCTCTGTGCCTCCCCGTTGGGTCCGGTCCCCAACCTCACTCCTGTGAGAAACAAAACAAAACAAAAAAAAGGCCCTTTTTCATATTCCTGAAGATCAAGTGTCCGTCTTCATTTCTTCAAGCCCTTCTCCAGTCAAACCCCCCACCCCATCATGCCCTGGGTTAACTTCCAGCTACATCAACCAGAATCGGTCTTAGCCTGAAACGGACCCCCTCATCCAAGCTTTTACCACCAACAGCTAACATTTCCCCCAGCCTTCAGCACTGTTGGAAAAATGCCACATATCCCTTTTTTAAAGGGGGTGGGGGGTGGGATCTTGAAGTTTCCATCCACTGGGTGAAAGCAGATCTCCATTTGCGCCCCTTGCACCATACCTGGGTCGTCGTCTCCACCTGGAAAAAGCCACCATCACTTCCACCACCATCAGCACCACACACACACACACACACACACACACACTCTCACACACTCACTCACACACACACAACTCCCCCCTCCCCCCGCAGCACAAAATACAGCCTTGGGCTATGCAGGGCGAGCCAGCCTGGTGGGCACCTGGGCGACCCCATCCGGAATCCGACCCGCGGGGGTCCGGAGAGCACAGCCCCCAACACCAAATTTCCACTCCAAACTCACACCGCGCCTCACCATCGGGGCCCTTCGCTGTGGGCCTTTAGTGACCGTCCCTTGGGTCATCTGGGACCACTGTCACCTCGGCCTTTCCGCATTTCGGCCAAGGATGCCCCTCCCGCACCCCAGTACAAACTACTTCCGAAGATTCTCCCCTGTTGCATGAAGCAGCTCCTTCCTGGGTGCGACCTGGAGATCTGAGGCGAGACGGGAACTGTTTTACCTCAGATTCCCCCTCTCCCGCCGTCCCTCGCCCCGGCACACGCACTCGCGCCCGCCGGCATCCCGCATCTCCCTCGCTCCCTCCTCTCATTCCCGCCTCGTAAGGGCTTCCCGGGGGCGACCCGGCACCGCGCTCTTCCCTGCCTGCAGCCGCCCCCCGACAAGCCCCCGGAGCCCCGCGCGAGGGCCGCCCCGCCACCTACCAGTCGGTGTGCGGCTCGTCGACGACCAGCAGCACCTTGGCCTTCCTGGCGGCCGCGGGCGCGGGCGCGGGCGCGTCCACCAGGCCCGCCGAGGCGGCCGTCTGCTTCACGGCTTGGGACAGCGAGCTGAAGAAGCTGCTGCCCACCGACGGCGCCGGCGCGGGCTGCGGCGCGGGCTGCGGCGCGGGCGCCTGGGCGGGAGGGGGCCTCCGCTCCGGGCCCGGCGACGCGGCCGGGGGCGCCGACGAGCCCGAGGCCGCGGCCGGGCCGGGGGGCGGCGGCGGCGGCGGCTGCTGGGGCTCGGGCCGCTGCAGGTCGGTCATGTAGCCATTGGGCAGATTGGCTATGAAGCTGCTGTCCGACAGCCGGCGCCGCAGGAAGTTCATCATCTGGCTTGAGGGGCTGGGGGCGCGCGAGGCGACGGGGCCGGGCGGCTCTGAGGGAGGCCGAGGGCCGAAGCTCAAAGCGGCGGCGGCGGCGGCGGCGGCGGCCGAGACCCGGTCCGCGTCGCGCTGGCCCAGCAGACAGCGGCGGCGGGCGGACTGGGCCGGGGGAGCCCGGCTGCGCGAGGCTCGGGCGCCAGGGAGCGGGCGGGGCCGGGGGCGGGGCCACGGGTCGCCCCGCCCCGCGCCGCAGAGCCGGCACCGCCCCCGCCTCGGAGCCGGCGCCTGGGGCCACCTGGCCGCCGCCTCCCGGCTCTAGGGACTCGGGGGAGGGGAAGGGAAGCCCCGCCGCCCCGCAAGCTGAACGTGACCTCGTCGGGAGTGGGTGGGAGCCTAGAGTCCCCACCAGCTTTCAGGGTGAAGGGTGCAGTCCTAGCCGCGATGGAGGCAGGGGCAGCGGCCCCCACTCCTTGGAGGGAAGAAGTGTCAGCCACCTATGCTGGGGTGAGAAGGGAGCCAGCCCCCGCGCGCGGGCGTCCGCGCAGGGTAGCGAGAGGGAGACGGGAGAACGGTGCCATCTCCCCGGCCCTCAGGTGAGGGAGGCACGCGTACTCGCCCCCGCTCGCACGCGCGCCCTGTGACGAGACAGAAAACCACCGCTTCCTCGGAGCCGAGGGAGGAAGACACCCCCTCCCCAGGACTAGGGCCCCCGACTGCAGGGGGCCAAGAACAGGCTGCCCCCACCTTGGGGAGGAAGGCGGAGAAACAGCTTCCCGCCCCTGGGACTAGATGGAGGTGCGGGGTGCGTTTTCGGCGCCTGCAGTTCCTGCGTGGCTCCCCTAAGCGCGCGCACGCACTTCTCCCCCCTCCTCAGTGAGCACAGAGCGGAGACCCCAGAAGGATGAGACCCCGGGCATCCCTCCGAGAAAGCCGTCCGACGCGCCCCTGCCCTGCGTGTGGTTGCTTCTCTGTCATGCGTGACGCAGCCAATGCCGTGCCAAGGGCATCGCCAAGATCTTTCTTTCTGCTTGGATCCATTTCGCTCGCTGCTCAGCCCTGCCTTGACCTCCGTAAAGAGTTCTGACTGCTGCCCTCCCCTGTGCACTCCCTCCATCTCCTGGGACCCTTGCACCTTTGTGGTCACCGCCCATGAGCTAGCCTTTAACCTCTGTCTTGTCTGGCGGCAGAACACAACAGATATACAAGGGTACTTCCAAAAGTTTGTGGAAAAGCAAACTGAAAGATGAGTTTATTTTTATGCACAGCGATTTTGAAATCCACGCATGGTTTTTTCATAATATGCATTTTTTCATAAACTTTTGGAAGACCCTTTATAATTGTTTGCACCAAAATGAACATCTTTTAGTTCCATTTTTCGTGAACTGATGAGGTACCCTCACACGTGGCAGTCATACCACCTGGGTTGTACCTGACCTTGGACAAACTAGCCTGTGAGCCTCCTTGCCTCAGGGGATAAGTAACACTTTGCAGAGTTGTTACGTGGAGTATAAATGACATCATGCAACTGATGACACAGTAGGCATTGCGCTAGTGGTGCTTGAATTTTTTTATTTGAATTGGTTCTCAGTAAGTACTTGCTGTACTGAATGGAGTCACTGAGAGCCTTGTCACTAATACTGGCAGGCAGACCTTGCTTCTTCCATCCCAGGTAGCACTCAGCTAGACCTGCACAATCCAGGTCTTGAACAAGTGGTATCAGAGAGGTCTCCAATCAACCCTGATAATGTGGGGGCCGTCCCATCTGTCATGTCCATCCCAGGATCAATGGGAGGAACTGGAAAGATCACTATGAATGGGAAGGGTCCACAATCTGTGAGAGCCGCGTAGAATCATCGGCAGAGGAACAATGAATCACAAAAAGACAAGAGAAACGCTGCAGTGCAGTTGGGCAGGTTGGTGTAGGAGCACCAACGAGGGAAGGATTGATTCTGCCAGGAGGCTTAGGAAAGGCCTCTCAGAGAAAGTGACGAATGAGGAGGGTCTTGAGGCATCTGTAGGAGTTCATGAGTACAAGAGTGGGGAAAGCATTCGGGCAGAGAAGGCATGGAGAAAGCCTTCCCTCAGTCCTTCAGGGTGGGCCAAATGTCTCACATCCTGTGCTTGGCTTTATTATAGCCTCTGAGGAAATCAAGAGTCTGGTGGCTAAAATATAAGCTTTTTGAGGACAGGATTGTCTTAGTCATCTTTACACCCCAACACCAAGTACAATTCCTGGCATTTAGTAAGGACTCGGTTGTTTGAGAATTTGCACAACTTACCCGACTCAGTCCTTATGCTTATTGGAGAATAAAACTGGAAGTCACTAATTACTTAATCAAACCTAATTTCTTTAATGTCCTTCCTAGAAGTATTTTTTTTTTTTTAATAATCAAAGAGTCTTATAAAGGCAGGTGTCTCTACTGTCATTCTCACTTTTTGGATAATTGAGAAATTTTACATATATTTACATATATGTATATACCTCCAAGTAATTCCTGCTATCATTCATCTTGTGGTGTATGCATAATATTTTTTTAAATTAATCAGTTAACAAACATGATTTGTGTGCCTAAAACATGCAAGCTATTATGCTAGGGACTAGGATGAATGAGATTCAAGAATGAATAAAACCCAAGTTCTTAATCCAAGAAAACAGCTTATAAGCATGTGAACACACAATCAGCCATAGCACTCAGTGAGTGACCAGAGGCGGAGCGGGCAATGACTATTAAAGGAGCCAGAGGAAGAAGCAGGTATGGTCGACGCCTTACAAAATGAGTGGAATTCAGACAGGCTGGAAAGAGTGGAGAAGGCAACCTAGGTAACAAGAGCAGAGACAAGCAGGCTGGGATGATGAGAAATAGAGATCCACTCCTTGAAGAAAAATCTTTGTGTCGAGCCTTTGCATAGCACTTGGCCTGTAGTATGCACTCCATTATTTGTAGGGGGGCTCTGAGAGACTATAGATGTGTACAGGAGCACCCCTCCATCTAGGGGTTCACTTTCCACAGTGCAGTTGCCAGTAGTCAAAGCAGTATGAAAATAATAAATGGAAAATTCCAGAAACACTCATAAGTTTTCCATTGCATGACATTTTCAGTAGCATGATGAACACATGCCATCTCTCTCTGCCCTGCCCAAAGCATGGATCATCCCCATTTGTCCAATGCATCCATGATGTGTATGCTACCTCCCCTCTGGTGACTTAGTGGCTATCTCATTTATCAGATTGACTATTATGTTACATAGTGTTTACATTCAAGTAACCTTCATTTTACTTTTAATGTCCCAAAGCTCAAGAGTAGTGATATTGGCAACTCAGATATACCAAAGTGAAGCAACAAAATGCTTTCCTTAAGTGAAAAGGTGAAAGTTCTCTGGGGCCAGGCTGTGGCTCAGCAGGTTAACGCCTTGACCCGAAGTGCTGGCATCCTATATGGGCGCCGGTTCGAGACCCAGATGCTCCAGTTCCGATCCAACTCTCTGCTGTGGTCTTGGAAAGCAGTAGAAGATGGCCCAAATCCTTTGGCCCCTGCACCTGCGTGGGAGACCGGAAGAAGCTCCTGGCTCCTGGCTTTAGATCAGCGCAGCTCCGGCCATTGCAGCCAATTGGGGAGTGAACCAGCAGTGGGAAGACCTCTCTCTCTCTCTTTGTTTCTGCCTCTCTTCTCTCTCTGTAACTCTGTCTTTCAAATAAATAAATAAATCTTTTTTTTTTTAAAAAGAAAGTTCTCAATAGGAAATAAAAAAAATTGTGTGCTGAGGTTGCTAAAATACGCCTACTAAAGAACTTGAGAAAGAGAGAGATGCTACATTCATATACATTTTTACAGTATATTGGTATAATTGTTTTATTACCACTGTTGTTAATCTCTTACTGTGACTAATTTATATAAGCAATATGTATGTAACTATAGGAAAAAACATAATATTTATAGGATTTCAGGCATCCATTGGGGGGTCTTGGCACATATCCCCCCATGGATAAGAGAGGACTACTGTATATGTTTATGTTGTTAATGTCTATCAATCTCTCTTTAGATTGCAAGCACCTCAATGTGAAGAACTGTGCCTTCTGCTGCTCTCGGAATGATCTACAGAGCCTGATACGAGTATGCTGTGTAACACACAGTAAGTATCCCAATCATGGGACTAGAGCAGGAGGTTCCCAGAGAACTACTTCATTTCAGATTCCTTCATTGAAGACTATGAAGAGTATTTATCAAATATTATGTTAACTTATTACATTGTTTTATGCCAAATAAGGATATTATTATGGAAGGACAAACTACTTATAATTGGGCATAGGTGGTCATTAATCAGTTGCATGTGACAGAAGTTCCTGACTAGTTGCACAACTGTAAGTCCTGATACTGATACTGATACTGATACTGTCCATGTCCCAGTGAGCCCTTGCTACGGAGCGCTTGTGCATCCTGCACCTGATTGTAAATGAGCTTGTGTTTTAATGAGTTTCTTTACCCTTACCTGTGGACCAAGGTTGCAGATGCAGGTAGAATACAGTACTATCATTTGACCTACCTCTTACATGGAATTCAAGAGAAAACTGGATTTAGAGTCAGGAAATTCTACAAACTGTAAAACTCTGG